TGTCAGCACTGCGAGACAGGTCCTGCTATTTCCATTTTACTGAGGAGGACACTGAGGCACACAGACTGACGCCATAGCTACTAAGTGGTAAAGGTGACACGGACTCTAGAGCCCACTCTGAAGGCATGGTTTTCTAGGAATATATGGCCTGTATGGGACCCAACATGATACCCTATCTGTCCAGGCTCGGGGCCATGGTGGGGCCCTCTCTCCCCTTCTTGGGGATCTAGACCGAGCTCCAGGGTAAGTACCCTGCCTGGGCAAGAAGGATTAAACTTTGGTCCCATTCCCATGTAGAGAAACTGAGGCTGGGAGGGGAGGTGTCTCTCTGGCCCAGTCTGAGCTGACTCAGAAGGAAAGGAAAAGGTTCAAAGCTGCTCAGTCCCACACCCGCACCGACCCCCCGGGGGCCGGTCCCCAACCCCGATCCCCACCTCGCTCTTGGCCCAGTCTGATCCCATGGGGCCTCCCCAGGAACCCTCGGAAACCCAACCCTGGAGTGACAGCAAAGTGGCTGCCAGGCTGCTCCCCACTGTCTCCAGCCCTGACCACAGTCACTCCCAGACCCCAGCTGCCCCAAGCCACCGGCCAGCAGCACAGATTTAAACAACCAGAGCCACTCCCAGAAGCCAGAGTGCGGCGCCCTCCAGCCTCCCTTCCTCAGCCCACTCCCTCCCCTGGCCCGGGGGGACGCGTGCAGAGGGCTCCCACCTCATGCCTAGGCTTGCACACTCCTGCCAGCCGTGCCCTCCTCCCACCTCCCCATGCTGCCCCTCCATTCCCGTCCTCCCAGTGCTCAGGGCTTTCAGCCCGTCCTGTGTGGTCTGTCCCTTCTGGGGTGCCTGTAGGTGCCAGGCTTCCCACCATACATGCACACAGCATATTCCAGGGACCATTTGATTCATCCTCTGTGCCTTGTGCCCAGCAGGGGTCTGCACGCAGTAGGTGCTCAGGTTGACTGGATTTCCATGCAGGTTATTCCCTGGCCAACCCTCCTCATGGCTGACCTCTCCCTGGTGCCCTCGTCCAAAGGAAGAAATCGATCAATCATCTACTATGTGCCATTCATGCATCTGTTAGGCCATTTGAGCCCATGGAGGTAAGAATTATGATCCCCATTTTGCAGAGGAGAACACTGAGATTCAGAGAGGGGCCCCGCAGCCCCACCCCACGGCAGGCCACCCCCACAGCCACCTGGACCCTGAACGGGCTACCTTGTGTCTTGGTTTGAAGCTCTTCCAGATGTCAACGAGGTTTAGGCCGTCCAGCCTCGTGCCCCTAGCCTTCTCATCCATCTCATACTCCACGTCAGTTCTATTCTTGGGGTACATGTACTTCCTGCCGCCCCCCATGATCACCTAAAGGAGACAGGAGCCATCTGAGTCCCAGGGTTCCAAGGTGTCCAGCAGCCCCAGTGGCCCCAGCCTGGACATCTGGACTCTTGGAGTCTCTTGGGATGGTGAGGACACTTTCCCAGTCCAGTGAGTCCTGGGTGGGGTCCTCTCAGACCTCCACTTTTTCAGCTTGGGGAGATAAAATCATGATTCTGTGGGGACTGTGGTTTCAGGCTTCTGGAAGAAATATTGGAGAACTGGGAACCTTCCTCACCAGGCTTTCCAGAAGCCTGACACTAACTCCCACTTGTGTAAGAATAAGCCCGTGCATAGAGCGCTCACTGCGTGTCAGGCACTAAGCCCTTAAGCTACATCATCCTACTCAACTTC